TATATATATAAACTTCATAATCTAGAGCAAAAGAGCCTAAATTACAAGTCCTCTAAATAATCACTCCATGATAAAAGAGGTAGGGTTGCATACAGAGGCACACCTACGTTATAAAGAGAAGTGTCACCCTCGAAAATTAACACAAATTCTATGATGTATATGTCTTTAGAAAATATTAATATATTAGTAGTGACATCCTATATACAAAATAAAATTTGGTTGAGCACGCAAAGGTACACGCCCCGATAAGAGGCGAATTCATGATTTAGATTATGTGGGTTCAACTTTTAAGGTTTTTAGCATCGGATCTGGTCGAAAAATCGGTCGACGCACACCCCGACTAGAGAGACTGAGAAATTAGTTGAGTACAAAACTTATCTTCAAGCTTTACCTTATTCTGATTGTTCAGATGACGATCGCATTGAACCCATTGTATTTTTAAAGTTATGGGCTTAGACCTATCATTTGTTGCAATTTTAATAAATTTTTATACATAAATTTATACTCAGATAAACCCGACGGGCATACTCTACATCCTCCCCTACCCCGAGCCAACCCACTCATAAATAAATAAAAATGAGAAAAGGAAAAAAGAAAGTTGAAAGTAAAGGGTCACTATACCTTGACAAGCAAAATGGCCATTTTTCTTGAGAAGTTCCATATGATAATAAAGAGTCAAAACCAAAGCAGGCTCTGTCCAAAACGAAACATACACCAAATTATACTTCTCAGCAATCATCAATGGCCAAACATAGAAAGTATCAGCAATCAAACACGTCACAGGCGGATCAGACTTAACCAAATTCCCAACAACTTCATCAAAATGTGCTGAAAAAACATGCAAAAGTCCCTCAACAAATTGGTCATGATTTAAAGACCTATCAAATCCCAAAGGAAAACCGTCATTCACCGTTGCATAACGTATGTCAAGCCCATTTTCACGAGCTTTAGCAAAAAGATCATCTTTATTATGTTGGTAATTTTGTTGAGTTTGTGAATTTGAAATCTTGGAATGAATATAATGCGTGTTTACAAAAGTAATTGTAAAGCCATGAGAAGCAAGTTTTATGGCTAAATATACAAAAGGGGTAATGTGACCTTGATATGGATATGGAATCATAATAGCATGAGGTTTTTGGTAATGACTTGCCATTGATAAGTTTGTTGATCTAATTGGGGAAGAGGAGCTTTTGAAAGAGAGGAGAAGATGATGATGACCAATTTGCCTACTTTTTTGGGGGTCCTATGAGTTTTCAAGTGGCATTTATTTGTGCTCCATAATTGAAGGGAAAAGGAGGGGAAATGAATTAAAGTGGAAAAGAATTTCTAGGAAAGGAATCAAGTTTTTAAAAATTCTTATTTGAGCAAGTAAATTAATTCAATTTTGTTTTTCTTTTCACATAGGTAAGACTAGGGGTGAAAAATGGATAAAAAAATAATTATCCATCCATATTATCCGTTTTACATAATTGACTTTTTAAAAATGGATCAAATGTGGATAAAATCTATATTATCCACTTAAAAAATAGATACTTATTGGATAACTAATGAGTTTAAATTTTTGCATTTGCAAAGATCAAAATAGAGGTTTCTCAAATTTGGGAGCCTATGAATTCTCACATAAGTTATCCTATTCAAGAAAATGGATAATATGGGTATTCATATTATCCGCAAATCAACCTATTTTCTGTCCATATTAAATATGGACGTATCAGATATTTTATCCGCCTTGTATAATCCGTTTTCGACCCGATCCATATACGATATGTTTTGCCCGTTTGCCACCCCTAGGTATATAAGACTCTTCTTTTTTCCGGTTTAGCCATCCAAAATATAGCTCATCGGTCGCGGAGACACATGTGTTAAGGGGTGTTTATCGACACTTTTTTGTTGCAAAATTACACTTTATACCTAGGTAATTTTTATTGTTATGTATATATAATCTATATTGACACCCCTTGGCTTATTCATAGGTTTATATTTTGACCTCCTCTTTAGTGAAAATTCTGATTCCGCCACTAAATCTAACTTATTCAAGTTTTTATCGTGTAGCCATTAAAGGGGAAAGAACTTCCTATAGTAAGTTTTATAATTACATTGAAACCTTTAATTATGGATAAAAATATATCCTAATCATTCTACCATATTTCTCGGTGATGGTAAGGCCTAATTGGATCACAATGTATTTTAAATGTGATACTATCTGTTTATTAGTATGATTATCTCATCTTCATTATTCTTTCATTTTCCTCTTTACCAAGTCATAATCTTATAACATAGTTAGCACATAATATATAATCAGATATTGAGTAATGAGAATACTACTTAAAAGTCTACTTGGTCAACTAGTGAAGGAAACATAGTCTTTGTAGTAATTGAAGGTGAAGTGTGTGTTTAGCTGGATTTCAGGATGACCAAAAGTAGTATAATAGGAAATATAATTTTTACTTTGCTGAAAACATATAAAAAAAGGTTTCTCGTGTAAGAATTTTAGAAGTTCTGATACCCTTTTTGATATTATACAGAAAATGTAAAGGTTGTTGCACTTTAGTTTCAGTGTGTTAAAAACTTTATTGGATTTTAGTGGTTTAGAATTGGCATCTCAGAATATGCATATAAAGCATTAATGGAAATTGGAAAAGTAATTAAACTAAAATTTTGAAGTGACCTAACAAAGAAAGGAATTGGTGGCCCAGAGGAAGTGGACCATATGAGGTTTGGTGAAGGGGCACTGGGGTAAATGGTTCGGTTCGATCGGTTATTTTATAAAATTTGTATCATATCAATTTTTTCGAAACCGTCTCAATCATGTCGGTTTCTCTTCGGTATCAGTACGGTTCAGTTAATTTTCGGTATTTTTTTTAAATGTCAGGTAAAAATCACTAGTAGAAGTAGAATGCAATAACAAATATACTTTTATATTCACAATACTCTCTAGACATTTTTACTATTTTGAAGGGTGATGAATTAGGAAAACATGAAAGATGGCCATAGTATTAGATCCATCAGCTATTCTATAGCAGCATAAAAGAAACTAAGCAAAGACAAAGAAAATATAAATCACACGAATGAAAAGATATTAACCAAGTTGGGATTCAAGAATAAAGTATATGGAAGAATAAATATTCAAAAAGATAAATTTAAATCATACGAAAAGAAACATATTCAATACATTGTAGTTTGCTACTCATAATCGCTAGAATACTTCGTGTCTTGTTAGCGAATATGCTGAAAATAATTTAGTTTCAATAGAAGTAGCACAATAGTTTTGGGTATTAGGATTTTGAGTTTAATTACTCGTTGGCTTTTAACCATTTCTCTAATTCCAATGCCCAAAACGGTACGGTTCAGTATTTTTTCGGTTTATTTTCACAAAATAAAAAATCTATCCTAATTATCGGTACGGTTATAAATTTATATAAAAGCCTACGATTTTATTAAAAGAAACCTAAAAATCGATTCGGTACGATTCGGTCGCTTTAGTCGGATTTTAAATATCTATTGACACCCATGGGGCATAAGTTTTACATAATGATATTAAAAAAATAGGGAATTCTGCAAATAAATTATTGCATGATCTTACAGTTAACAATTAAAAAAATTGAGTATATTTAATGCTAGTTCAAATTGTTACTACTACTTCTTTCACTTTTAACCTTATTGCTTTCTGTTCAAAAAAAAAAAAAAAAAAAAAACTTATTGCTTGACCTTATCATCATGTCCCATTTGAATAAGGGGATAAAGTATTTGTAGTCAGTTTTCGTAATAGTAGATAAAGACAATTAAATTACACAAGAAAAATTAAAGCAAAATATAAAATTGGTCGATTGGTAAAAATTAATTTTATTTGTAAGCTATATATTTTACTTGGAACTCTTAAAATTAAAAGTCTGGTGGGGACAGTGGTTGAATACATATATATTTTATGTATATAATACACATATATACAAAAATATATATATATCTTGTCGTCTATTATTCCTGGAAATGGCTAAAAATATGTATATTTCAAATATTTCCAAAGACACAAAAGCTAGTGTGTTAAAACTATGAAAAATGCGGGTTTCTTAAATTAAAAAAGGGAAACTATTATGCTTTGAACCTTTTTACTTACAATGTGGAAGGCAAGGTGTTCACCAATTTGACTGCCTTCAACTCCTAAAAATTGAGCTTAAATAATAGAGTATCATTTATATATACGCGTACACACTCTTTTTGTCTCATTTAAACATATTTGTTTACTCTTAACAAGACGATTTACGGTCATACAAATGTCTATAACTTGTTTTAGATTAAAATTTTCCTAAAAAGAATTTCATATGTAAAAGTTTGGTTCGTAGTTTGCTGGGGATGATTCATTATTTTGATGCTAAGATAAACTTGTTTTGTTAATTATTATTTTTTGATAATTAAAAAAATGTACTTACTTTTAAGTATTTTAAAAAAAAAATCAATTTTTTCCGAGAAATGAGAGTTCAAAATTTCACCTAAATAAATCGCTTTTATTATAAATCTAATTTATTGAATGGAAGTACAAACGCATTCGAATTCGAAATACGATTTATAACTCGCATTCGTGGAATACAAATACGACTTATAAAATTACAATAAATGTGACTTACAAATTACAAATCGCAGATGATGAATGGGACTTATCAAATTGTTTGACATTTATACTTGGAGCCCATCATTTGTTTTGGGAAAGGAATTCTTTATTTCGCTGGAAGGTAGTGAAATATAATGAAAGAAGAAAAAGGCCAAATACCAACACAGTTTTGCTCCTCTGTTAAAGAAGCCGTTCAGATCACCAAAAAATGTGATGGAACGAGCGAAATCTCTCTGCTATTAATTAGAGGAAGTTTCAAGTTTGAGTTATGGGAATAGAGAAACTCCTAGGGTAGTCTGGTACTACACATAACAATTTTGAATTAATCAAGTCAATGAAATGCGAACACCCAATATGATTAAGAAAAACATGTTGAGCAATATAAAATAGTTGAAATATAACAAGTTGAAGAATGAAAATCTTTTTTCTTAACCTTTCCCTATGGGATTCAGAGTTTCAGAATGTTGAGGCTTGGACCGTGTGAGTGTGACCAATGATAGTAGGAGTATGGGGTGTTTTTTTATCAATGTTTTCCACTTGCAGAATTTAGGGGCCCAATATTTCTAGTTTACAAACCATGTATCTATTTGTTTTTAAGTTCCAAGACATCATTGAAACCAGCTGCCCCTGTGGCAGAATATTCATCTATGACCATCTTCATCATGAGCATATTCCATAAAAAAAATTAGGGAAAAGGGTCAAATTTGTCACTCTTGCCATGCGAAAAGGATCAAATTTACCATTTATTATACTATCGATCTAATACCCCTAACGTTATACAATTGGCTTAAATATACCCTTATTCAAATAGAGCTGTCAAAACGTGGATACCCAATTCCATGTGGCCCTGACATCTCGGTAAGGTAGACACCACATGCCATCACCACCGGCCCATCATCAAATGGCGTGACGTAGACAGTCTATCCTAATGCAAATATTAGTGGTTGCTTCCACGGATACAACTTTACCGTTGCTCCAATACCTACTTGGCGGGTAGAACATCTCAGTATTAAAAATTTAGAAGGAAATTAAGGAGGTATGTTTATCTAGCTAGTGTAATTTCTACTCTCTTGTAAAGTTGATGAATGGTTTCTGGTTCATGTTCTTCCTCTGTTACTAATAATAAAAGCCGGTTGATTATCGGACTTACCACCATTAATGTATTCATTAGCCAGAATATATGAAGGTAAATCCATCGGCTGGCATTGCTGATCCATAATCTATAATGTCCCTGTTGTGTATGTAGCAAAGAGTGGCACTGTAATGATAAACAGAATATAAGGTTTATACACATAATATTTACAGCAGTATGGACTATAGAGTACATTTTGACGAAATTTCCTGGAGATAATCTGACGCCTGGATTTTGGAGAGGAAAGAGTGAATATTTTGAAGATTTGGTTCCCAATATCTATTTCATACAATCGCACGGGCAAAGTAAGAAATGGGAACGAAAGGTGGAGACTTTTAAATGTCCAAACGCAAGAACGTTCTTTAGTTTGAAAGTTTAGGACGTTCTTTTCAACCCAATTTCCTTTCCCCTTCCTCCAAATATCAAATACTTTTTCAAACAAGTGACTTATTTTTCTAAAATGCACATTGTTTTTGTAATCGAATATCTTGTATCAATATCAATTTTGTCATATGCCAAAGTCCAGAATATCCAAGATCCATCAGTGCAAAAACCAAATGATTTGGCATTTTCACCCTCTGCACATAAATCTACACAATGTACAGATCCAGAGACACCTGAAATATTCTCAAAGTTAATGTTCTGTACATTAATAACCTTTGTCCCATTCAACCCTTCTCTTTTTTCAAGAGCCATGCTTACTTGCGCATGCAGGAAGTTCTGGACTTGAGATTGCTGGGACACCCCTATAAGTCAGCCAAACTAAGTTTAACAATAAACCACGCTTACTCCTGTCCCAGTTTCAGGAAACTTAGACTTTAGCACCGATCTTGTAATCTGCTAATGAAGTAGTCTCTACAGCTTCAACAGTAGATCCAGGCTCTTTCTTGTCCAACCCAAAGAACGAGCAATTTTGAAATGCATCCAGACTGCTAGCTATGAGGCGGTTCAAGCCACCAAGACTATTATCACTCAGAATTAGGTCTTCACTATGATATCTACATGAAGGTGCATCCAACTCTAGCGGTCCTAAAGAGTCTGGCTGCAGAGTTCAAAAAGAGGAATTAGGTAAATACACGCCTGAAGCTGACATACTAGGTGGTTATATATATAAATAATGCCAACACCGCTAATAGCAGAAAGGCAGACGTTAATTATCCAAAATATCTCCATTCAGACATATAAGCAGGCAAGTAAGAAAATATTTACCCAATATATGTCAGAGAGCAAACTAAGATCCTTTGTAGAACCACCCAAAGCTTGTGCATTGGATTGGCACTCATCCACTGGATCTTCATGAGCAGGTTCATCAGTTATAGGTTCCATTTTCCCAGGCAAATCCTGCAAAAGAAAATAAAGTTGATGTATATGCTCCACCTCTAACTAGCCAAAAGTGATACACGCTTGATAAGATTCTCTTTGACATATAAACCTTTATTCCTGCATCCAACAATAGGGAAGATGACTGAGAAATGTGCTGGCAGTTCTCTGCACCAACATTGCTGGATGAATTGTGCGCTTTAAGTCTGGAAGCAACATCTTTCTGAAATGCAAAAGCATCACATGTATCTTCAGCATTCCAAATGGAAGATGCTTGAGGTGGAAGAGCCATCTGAGATTCAGCTTTGCTCTGATGTTTATATATATGAGCAGCAATCGCTGCGTCAAACGAGTCGCAGCTAAATGGCATCTGCTGGAGAAAGTGAGAGCTTCCAGGTAAAGTTGATTCAATGCAGTCTGTTTCCTCATCGTCAGGTGCATCAGAGAGAAGATCTCCAACACTTATGTTGGTAAGGCTATCTTCCCAATCCCCTGCTGATAAAGCACTGGTCTTGCTTCCCTGCATATCATGCTAATAGAAAGTAAAGTAAATATTCAGGATTAGAATAATGAGCAATCAAAGAAAAATATCATAAGTTTGGCACATTCAGCTGTTAATGAGACTCCTTTTCTTGAGAAAGTTTTTGATTTCATAGAGAGGTAGATTAGTTTAGACCGCTAAGTGGCAACTGATTCATTGATATGCAATCCAACATTCTTTTAAAGCAAAAATGACTGCCCTCAACATACAACACAACCAGAATAAAAGAGGGAGAACCTCAAAATTCATTCACTTCAACTAGAACATCTGATGATAAAACTTCACTTTCTTCCCAGCAAGTAAAAACAAGTTTTAGACGATCATTATCTTGGCATGAACTGGAAACTGATAACTTCACTTACCTATCAGACAAACCAGTGCTAACAAACTTCTCAAGACAGCGGGCACAGGATCCAAATTAGGAATAAGACTTAATCCCTAGATCCCCTCAATCACCCTATCTTGAACAGTAAGGTTAAATAAAGGTTGTTCCAATTCCGTTAGAATTTCTTTCCCTGATTCATATCCACACATTTTCATGATCACTGCACTCCTGAAAAAATGATGTGTCCTGGGATGCTACTTAAAATAGGTGGTTTCTTTCTATGGGATCCTTATACCCTTTGACATTTTACCAGCAGATTTTACTTTGTCTCCTATCTCAGGCTAAAACCTAATGCTAACCATCTCGCAAAAAAATGTATCTATAATTGTTTCCTTAACAAACTATTGCATCATCAAGATAAGTTGGTCTTCAACACATCTCACATAGAGCGTAATTTGAATACTAGAAGAATAGAAATAGCCTCTATAAAATGAACCCAAGTTTACTGAAATTCATCATGTAATAGGATAACTCAGTAAGTTACAAAAAGGTGTGCTGTGACTTTATTCATCACACAAAAAGCAGGCAATAGAAGCAAACATAATATCAGCTGATAGTAGATGAAACAAAAATAATTCAACAGAATTGTCAGTTTTCCTATTTTCTATAGAGCAAATCAAGCTAGAATGATAATGAGAATGAAACTAAAGAAAAGAAAATACCATCTCAACTTGTTTCTCTGTGGTTATAGCACCCTTCTCCCGTCTATGCGATGGCAGAGTTTCATTATGATCAGAATTGTAGGTATTCAGACCCATGCTAGCTTGCAAGTTTGACTCACCGGATAGCTCGGTTGAGGAGGATGTCACAGTCATTCTTGGGTTAGAAACTAGTGGTTCTTTAGAAAAACGTACAAGTTTACCATGGGATGATGCTAGTATTTCCGCATTCATTTCTTCTGTTATGTTAGTGTTAGTATTTTGTGTAAAGGGAGTGGTAGATGACAATGGTGCTTGAAACGTTCCAAGCTCAGAATTTGGAAACCAACCGTATCTAAAAGAAGGAAAAATAAGTCAGTCGCACAGCTACTGCAGAGGTAAATTCTTAAGGATGCAAAAAGAAAACGTAAAACAAGGACCTGAGACGGAAAACTGGAGGGCTTCCAATCAGATTATTTACATCTGCAGCACTTAGTGTAGTATCTTTAGTCCATCTCAGGGATTGCACCAGGTTTTCCATCTGTACATGGTAAGGAAAAAGCACCAGTTCTCCAGTTGCTATGCTCGAGCTTCCCCATTTACGATTGAGATGTTCCAAAACGGATGACATCTTTTTCCTATTACTTAGAGTGAGTTCCAAGTATGGGTTATGATTATCCTGACACAGAAAGGAAAGAGAAGTGATAGCAAATAAATTTTACATCAAATGTTGTAACCAGTTAACCACAGAACAGCAAAGAGATTTACTTGACCTACCATTTCCAGGGCTCTTCTAGTTCCTTCATCAACAGGAAACAGCTGGAGCTTGAGTTTCATACAACTCTGTAAATTGGTCTCATTTAACAGATTTTGCGATAAAGTAAGCAAAGAATGCACATCTTTCCCAACATGTTCAAATCCATTTATACCTGCAAGTTATACATAAAAAGGATGGCTAGAAGTTAGATACATTAGATGGAATCAACAATCCTCAATGGCAACAGGAAAAGCTGCAGCTAACTACTAACCCTGTGAATTCTGGACCAGTTCAACATCCTTACCGATAGTTGCCCGTTCCAAATGCTCGGCAGCATCAGCTACCAATGAAACTCCAGCAATTGCAGCCTTCTCCCACCTTTTATATGCAGCTGCTGATACAGAACCTGCCACCGAGAGACGATACAACCAAGAGTTGAGCTCAGAGACGGCTTTGTTATTTAGGAAAATGAAAAGCAAAAGAACACTAGAAGAAAAAAGACAAAGCAGTAGACAGACTATATCTGATAGGAATATCACTATTAACACTCCTCTGAACAAGGTATGGAGGGTGGGATAAAGAGAACGTTTTGGCTTGCCACTGCAATGGCATGTGCAACACAGTCAGATATTTTTGTGATCCCATCTGGAAGTAGTGTGTAAGAGTGGAAGAAGACCAAAACACATACTTCCATATAAAAATGAAACACCTATACTCATAGTTACATAATAGGGCATACGAAGAACAATTACTACTATATATAAAAGAATCTGAGCAACCAACTCAAAACATATGGAATGGATAGGAGTAGCTCGAGACCTTTATAAACCACTTATGCCCTTATATTATATCCAATATGGAGCAATCTATATCTATAACATATGATTTGCTAGAAGATAAAGGGAAAGCATAAAAGCCAAAGAAGCCAAAGGGCAGTCCGGAACAAAACATCCCGCATTCACGCAGGGTCCGAGAAAGGGGCGCGCCCCAAGGGGTGTGATGTAGACAACCTACCCTAAAGCAAGCAATAGTGGTTGCTTCCACGGCTCGAACCCGTGACCTATAGGTCACACAGAGACAACTTTACCATTGCTCCAAGGCTCCCCTTCATTTTTTTGATGAAATAAGATTCTTCATTGCAGGCATCCAGAAGATGCAAAGTTACAAGAAGGAATTGAGTTAGCTCCATTACAACAAAAGACTTAATCTGCTTAGGGAGCTAACTCAAAAACATCCGCTTCATAAAAGCCAAAGAAGCAATAATTGCAATTCATTCATGAGCTTATAACTAACAAACCTATCTTTCGTCGATGTCTAGCATTTTTCACTGGAGAAGAGTCTACTTTTGCGTTGCTTCTATTTACACCCATAGTCACATGGCGTTTTAGAGAAGAGCCTTTTCCAGATCCAAATTTCTGTATGCCCTGGTCGTCCAGAAGAACCACTTTAACTGTCCGACTATCATTAGTTGACACTCTGCTATGACTTGAAAGAGATGCAGCAGCTGTAGAACTACTTTCTCCTTGAGAAGGACGCCTTCTTACATTCTTTTTCCGGTCTTTCAACAGCTGACTCTCCTTTATGACAATAAATGTTTGTTTAGTCCAACTAAGAATAAAAGAAATCATGCTGAAACATGGGGCACAAAAAGTTGATGTTCTTGACTGACCAAAGTCTCAATAAATATTTTAAATCTCCGTGGTTTCAAGTGAAGCTTTGAAGCTTTACAGCTAGACTTTTCCAGTAAAGACCACCTACAGTCAAATCAAGATAGCTATATTATTACAAGTAGCTATTTAACATGTACAAGTGTCAAAACTAAGCTGCATTCGCTCCAACTTCACATTATAAATTTGTAGTGGATAGACAGCCAAATTAACTGGTTTACTTCTCCAAACCAGCAAATATTCAACATATTATAAGTGTAGCATGCCTCTCACATAATTTCCAGAGTCATAATACAACATTTTAAAAGTTAAAAGAGAACTTTGAACCCATGACTTCAATTTTTGCTACACAGCACCATCCTTACATTAATGCATAGCATGCTTCTATGTCATAAAAATGGAATAAAAGAGGATTTTGCTGCTAACGAAATGGCATAAAATCATTTCCGGCCAAAGTTTCGTTAGTTTGAAACAACCAGAGAGAGATAAATGACTAGGTGATGCTTCCCACGTACCATCGCAGCATTGCAGCATTAGTGTCCTTGGAATTTTTGGCATCAAGACAAAGTTCCGGACCCAACAACTTGTTCATACGCCTCACAAGACGATAATAATAATGTCTGACCTGCCAAATCAAAGGAATAAAGGTGTCAAAAAAAGGAAAAGATAAGTGAAGCAAAAACCATAGTAAAAAAAAGAATCTGGATAATTAAATAAATAAATGACACCATATATCACCTGATCCTTGTTTTTACTCTGCACACGACTAGTAATTTTCTCAAAGTTCTGAAAAAGAAAGTGTCACATCCACAGTCATTTTTGATCCACAAGAAAGACAAACAAAAGAGGAAGCCAGCTATATATACACAAAACAGTGAAATACCTTGCCAACTTGTCGCAGTGCAGAGAAAAAGCTTTCTTCCTCCTGACTAGTCCATGCAGCCCATTGACGTGTCTGCCTTTTGGCTGCATTGGTAATAAATATCCCAGCAGCAGAAATGACAAGTTAACCATCCGCAACTAGAGAACAATTAAGTCTAAGACAGCTAAGATAAAGCACATATTTTGATGACATACCTGGTTTCTGCAGCGTAACCCGGTCTTGGGAGGATGATACCTGCTGTGTCACTGCATGATCATGTGTCGGCACGGACAGCTGTGAAACAGGATGATCTTCTGAGGGTATCACTGGCTGTGCTGCCGCAGGATGTTGTGTAACATCAGAAACCCCATCCTTGCACATAAGAGTCTCAGGATGGAGGCATCTGTCACACTCTAAGGCGACTTGTGGCTCCATTTGCATGTTGAAGTCATCCGAAGTACTAGCTTTGCATTCTATTTTCAACTGCAAACACCCGAAGATACTTCTCAAACCTCCAATCCAACTGATAAAATGTGCAGATAAAAAGGTACCTACCAGAGCAAATAAAAGACCACTCAACATTCAAACAGAGAGATTCAAGATTGAATAAGACACATACAGTCAGACTTGCAGACTCAGGAAATAATATTGCTCTCTGTATATGTCAACATACTGCACCATATAAATCCATGCATATGCACATGCTCAGAATATGTACCCTTCAAGATCCATTATCCTTGGTAAGAGATCAAGTATGCACTAATTTCAAGGTGCAAAAAGGAAGAGACAAAAAAAGGAATAAAAAAGAAAAAAGATGTAAAAGAACTAAATGTTATAACAGCTTCAGTATACAAAGCAACCAGGAAACAAATGTGGAAGAAACGACAGTTCAACTCATTCTCAAAACATACTTGTTAGGGAGGATCTTATTGAAAAACCTTATAGACGGGACTGGTTTCAGCAAATCCTAAGATTCATCAATGGAACTTAAAAGCTACAGCCGAATTTCAATAAGTAGTCTAGTAGAAAGTATGGGTGTTATCTAAATGATAATAAGTCCTAGAAACCATAATCCCCGTGAAAGTAGGATACACCATTTTTAGTCAACCACTAATAGCTTTAAAAAGAAAACCAAGATATTTAATATGCTAAAGCAACAAACATATGAATATTTCCAAAATTATTTGAGTGAATATCATACTGAAAAGAATAAGTTCAGCAAACCATAGTCTTGGTCAAGCAGGAATGAGAAGAAGTAACTATTTAAGAACCTGAAGCAACTAAAAGTAATTAGGAAAATACAATACTCCCTCCGTCCAATTTATGTGGCACCGTTCGACTTTCAAGAGTCAAATAAGTTTTTCTTTGACAGCGATCTTTTCATACGCCTTTTAAATATTTTGAATTTTTAATTACTGTGACTTATTATAATTTTTACGTAATTCCCAAGTATATAATTTTTTTAAAAAAAAATCTATGTCCAAATTCACGGTCAAAATTAAGAAATTTGACACTTGAAATCCAAACGGTACCACATAAATTGGGATGGAGGGAGTATTATAGAGAGCCTAGAAAAGATTATCATGCATGGAAAAAGAGTATCAACTGAAAATTACCCACACGCGAATTATTTTTCTTTTTTAATTGTCCTTCATCATACATATTCAATCCAAAGGTTTCAAAGCAGTAAATTGAAAACTAAATATTTAGAATTCTACAATACAAGTTGAGACAACTTTCCAAAAGTTTAAATCATGTTGGTTCATGTCCTAAATTTTATGCATATGTATCATGTATGTACATATGTGTCCTTATCAAAATATATATGTATATATGTGTGTGTGGCGCCTGCACATGCACATAGAAAAATATCTCTAAAGAAGATCAATTAAAGGTAAACTGCTTTTATTTAGAAAACTAGTTCATTATGCAAATAGAAGCTCGAATGGATAAAGGATTAAAAGGAATGATTGCAGTAAAGTCACATATTGTTGTTGTTATTTTTTTTTTGGTTAAGTAGTATAGTCACAAACTATTTATAGAAACTATGGAATTATACACAGAGGTGCCATCAAATTCAATACATGAATGTTCTAAAACTCGCAGAATTCGTGTCTTCTACTTACATCATAATTCTTCTGTGCACAAACTAGTTTTTTTTCCTTTTAGGAATAAAGTAAGCATGTAACGAAATAAGTACATGCAGTAGGTCACTGGTTCAACAAAATTGGGAATACCGTCCAATTAAAATCATCTAGACTGTTAACATATTTACAACTACAGCAAAAAGCAAGGGTCAATAAACACGTTGAGGTTATTATGGGTAGGAACCGATACTCCATCAAAATATCTCTGATTTTTCTCCCTCTCCAAAATCCACAAAATGACACTCGGAATAGTATACATTTCGTGTCTTCCTCCCAAACTAACTCAGATATGCCTTTTTTGAATGATTTAGGCATTGCCCAATGGATCCCTAACAGGTTTAGGAATATATCCCACAGCTCCCTTGCTACCCACAGTGTAGGAACACATTTTTTTCTTTTCACTATTCAAATATATCATCTTAGTGACATGTTGTTTATTATTAATATTAATACAACCATTATTTACCTGTTAAAAAACAAAATATTTAAGTGGAAAAGAGATGAATTAATTGTTAATTAATGAACTTGTTACTTTTTAGGAAAAGGAATTTAGAGATTAATACTAGTCACTTGAATTGAATTAGAAACTTGACTGCAGTTTTGCATCTAAATCAAAATTTTAAATTGGTGTTTGACCTTAATTTGCATAGTCTTTACTTCATGTATTTTTCTTAATTATAGTTTTCAGTTACTTCTTTTTTTTCTTTTTTTTTTCGTCGTGTTATTTTTATGTTGCTTTTACATGGCTTTTTGGCGTTGTCCCTCCTTGTCTTTTAATTAATCTGGTGCTTATGTTTTCATGAGTCGAGGATCTATTGGAAACAACCTTTCTACCTTCACAAAGGTAGGGGTAAGGTTTGCGTACACAATACCCTCCCCAGACCCCACGATGTGGTATGATACTGGGTATGTTGTTGTAGTTACTTCTTTTTTTATAAAGACCTTTAGGTACTTTATCCATATAATTGCTTTTAGTGTTTATGGTTATTTTTCTTCATTGGTTTCATTGTACCTTCTTTTACTAAAGCTCATGCTTCTATTGTGCTTTGAGCTTAAAGCTCCAAAAATCTGAGACGCTTCTCGTCTTTGACAACACCCGCAGGAACTCTACAGGTGAATCTATATAATATACATTTTTAAATTCGTCCAAAAAGTCATAAAACGAAAGAGTTTGTGCTTTAAACCATTTATTGATGACAGTTTGCTCTCAAAGCGTTCACTATTCTATTTGATACAAGTCACTGAAAGGATGCAGTGTGGCATTGTGATTAATAAGGGTTTAAGCGTCTCACAACTAGTTCCTCAGTTATGTACTCCCTCCATTTCCTTTTGTGTAACGGTGTTTGACTGGGTACAGAGTTTAATATAGAAAGACTTTCTTGACTTGTGGTCTTGAACATGTCATGACATCCATTTTACAAAAAGACACATGTGGCTATAAAATAATAAAATGAGAAGTTTAAGTTAAAAAATTTAAAGGTATAGTCCTTCTTGGAACAAACCAAAAAAGAAATAATGTCACATAAAACGGAATAGAGAGAGTACTTACTTTTAGCCTTCCATGTTACAAGATTGTAAAGCTACAATTCCTTTATCGGTCTTGATTATACTCAATTAGGCAAGATCTCAATCCCGCTAGACATCACAAAGGGATTGGTAGCAAAGGAATCCAAGGTAAACGGGTGGTGGAGTTATGACTCCAATAATCCAAGTTTAATTCATGAGATTCAAGGAGACATATCACATAGCTATTATTTTCTCGAGCTCGATTTTAGATGAAACTAAAGCTCATGATATTCTCATCTATATGTCATGTTCATAGCTCTCTAATTGCACATTGTTCTACTATGTTTTGGTCCAAAAAATTTAAAGCTTGCGACGAAAGCAACATACTTCATTTAATTTAGTCTTTAATGCTTATTATAACTAGATATTTTGGCTTCTTATCACACTATAGCCTAAGTTATATCCATCAGAAATTAAACTAGAAATCAATCAAATTCTATCAAAAATGAATACGGAAAAAGCCTAAAATCAGCAATTGCGAATTTCTATGGAAAACAGATAAGTTTCCTGAGGAATAATGTACTATATAATTCCATACCAACACTAATCAGCAACAGATAATGCAATTAAAGCTTTGAATCTAATAATTAAACAAATAAAACAGGAAAATTAGGGCAAAATTCACGTAATTCAGGTCGGTTTCCGAGTAGGAAGAGTTAAAAACAGTTACCGGAAAATCACCGAAGAAGTTGAATGAAGAACGCCGTCAGGAACCCAAGCGGCAAGGCGGCAGCGGCAGAAAGAAGCAAAGTGGAAAAGAGGAAAGTAGATTCGAATTAGGAATGGATCGATTGGTCACAGAGGAAATTGAGAAGGAAAAGGAAAGGAAAGGAGAGGAACAAAAGATTCATACACTTTCAACTCCATTTAAATTTAGGAATACTTAGATAAGCACGTTCAATTACAAACTAGGATAGTTTCGACAACTTTCGATTTAAGAGTTTTTTTTTCTTTTTCTTCTTCTAACTTTTGGAGACCGCTTGCCTTTTATTATATTAGAATATTTTTGAGGTTAGTTCACAATCTTTTCAAATATACAATTTTAAGAGTACAAATCATCTCACTAAGTAATATTAAAGCTTTTACCATTCTATACGTGAAAACAAAATAGTAAAAAAAAAATTGAGGTTACAATTCGCCGAAAATCATTTACATTTGTTTATGAAAGTAAAAAATAAATACAACAAAATAAGAAATCATAACAAATTAAAAAATTAAAAAGCAAAAATGTTTTGTAGATTTTATCATAAAAATATTTTTAGAAAATATAAACAATTAATATTTTCTTAATCAAATTGGATTTACTTTAAAAAGTTTTTATTTAAATGAGAACCGATAAAGAACATGGATTATTACACAAATAGCCGACTAGTTTCAATATTTATATTTTCTACATCTGCCAACTATTTTTATATTAAGAGATTAGGTAGATGACTATTTGAGATAAATCTTCTAAAGAAAAACAAAAGGATGAAAAGGATTTTGGTGGAATTTACCATCATTAAATTATGACCCTAATCGTTGTATGGAGTGATGGAATTTTTAACATTTTGGTAACGATAATTAATTGATTTTTGGTATAATAATCAAACATTAATTTTGATTATAGGTACATTAAAAGATGAGGGAACTTGCACCTCTTAAAAAGTAACACAACCCTACATGCCACAACACCGCTATGGTGGAACAAAACTCATTCAAGTGCTCACCTTTATTCTTTATACCCCCTAGCCCCCATCTTTCTATTTTTTTTTTATATTTAATCATCTAATATCGAAGTTTACTTGCTCAAATATCAGTGGCGGAGCCAAGAATTTTTATTAAGGAGAGTCAAAATATAAAGAAACAAACTCACCAAGTGTAATTTTCCGACGAATGAGTGTCATTATATAGTATATATACATATTTTTTTAAAAATTATCGAACTAAACAGTGTAATTTTCCGACGAAGGGGTGTCGGTTGACACCCCTTGGGTGCATGTGGCTCCGCCACTGTCAATTACTCTTAATCCGTGTTAAATACACCGATTAAGGGAGTAAAGCATTCTCTACCAGAAGATTCTTCATTCTCAAAGTTCAAACCTCTTTTTGTTTAGCAATTTCAAGCTAGTTTTTTTGGATATGTCGCTACTACTTATCAACTTCGCCGTCTCCCTTTGTGACAACAAACGACTCAAAATAGTATGTCTTGTTCGAGACTTTTTGTTTTGAGTTTTCCTCCCTCAAAGGAAGTTAATTGCAAACATATAAAATAACACACTTTCTAGTGGTTGTTTATACTCTATCCACTTCATATGATAACATGTAACAGAATTTGGTGAATTTTTCTTTTAAATTAACATGTATGTTAAATTCTAGAATCTAAATTTTAGGATGCACAAAATATTAAGGAAAGTTAAAAGTGACTAACAAAAATAACAAGAAAATTCTTTCGGCTTAACTTACGCATGCCTAATTAGGAAATGAGTAAATATTTAAATCCATTAAGACCAAACAAGCTCCTATGAAATTTGAATTTCCTATGCTTTCCATATCACACTTTCTTTCCACTTACCAACCTTTAATTCTCCTATCTAATAAGAGACAGTTAGCACACAGCTGGACGATATGTGTACTTGCTACTAAAGGGTATTTTGGTCATTTTATATTACTCCTAAATTTGGCTGAAAACTAACACGTGTCAATCAACTTGACAGATGCTGCAAATACAAGAAGTCTGCGGTACTTTTATATGACATATAGGTCACTCTATGCCTCTATCTATTCATCTTCTTTGCTTTTCTCTGTTTGCATTCTGCTTCATCCTCTGATTTCTGCTTTGTTTCAACTTTTAACTAACTGATGAATTTGTTATCACTGTAATCTATGAGTTTGTTTTGAATTATTGTAAGCTCTTTGTTGTTTTGATAGCAATTTGGTCGGTACTTTCGATTTTATGGAAAATATCTGTACCTTCCCCTTCAATGTTGATTTTTATCGATCTCACTGCTGCTTGTTTTTTGGGAGTTTCCCAGGGTTAGCACAGTATAGTATGTTTATTAGTCAATTTTTGGTTTTCCTGATTATGTTCTTTGAGAAATTTTGAACTGTCTATACATCTAAATCTCATTGTATGCTTTTCTCTATTGTTGCTTTGAATAGTACGTTATTTTTACTTCTGTTTGTGAACCAATTTACTAAGAATTTTTAGTGATAGCAAGAACAGAACTTCTTCCGTTTTTCTTCACAGAATAAGAATATTACATGTCGAGATGACATATAGTATGTCCAAATTATTGGTGATGTTTTTTTCCTTGTACTATATATATAAACCAAAGATGATGACATTTTCTTTATGTTTACTGGTAAAAATATTAAATTTTACTATTAGTGATAAAATTACTTGCATTACCAAACTTGAGTGAGAAGGTCAGCTAAAAGAAAGAGTACCAGGAACTATTTACAAAGTATGATATGTTAAATTATTTCTTTGCATTAACTAAATTGCTTAAAGTCTTCCAAATTTTTAACGCTTTCTTATTAGAATAGACCAACTTTTTGTGCTGATGGGCCATAATGGTGCAATATGCCTATGAGAAGGGCAAACTAAATGAGATTTTCATATTTCCTAGGTTTACTTAAATATCATCTGTTCTTTTCTCTGGTAGAAATTACCAATTCAAGTTAAAACTTATATTTCACTCTATGAGTAAAAAATTATGCTTTCTGCACTCTTTTTGACATTCAAAATATGACTTTGAGTTTTACTGAAACATGTGCTTAGAAGATAGCTATCTATGATTGGTTTGGATGTTTCTGCACTTATTCACTTCTTTATCTACTGCCTCTCTCTACTATAAATATGTTGTAAATGTTATCTTCTTATATGACTATGTTTACTATATTTTCTGTATGAAATTAGAATGTCTGATATACTTGAAAGTACAAGAGCGGGGGGGGNGTTGACTGATTTTTCAATTAGTCGACTAGATATAATAGCGAGATAATAAGAAGTGCAGAATTAAAATGCAGAAGTAAAGTGCAAGAATTAAAGACACCGGAGTTTTAATACTGGTTCAGATTCAATGTGAATCCTAGTCCAGTCCCCTTGGGTTGCAAGGGAGTTCTCTTTCAGTTATTGAGTTTCTTGAGTACAAAGTGAATGGTGTAGTTTACACCAACAACTAAATTTCTATGTCACTCGTTTTTTCTTGATACAATGCCTCACCATTATTTTTCTCTCTTTCTTCTCTAACTTGTTACACAACAGATCTAGTAGAGCTACAATGTTTGTTTGAAGTAGAATAAAGAGAGGGTAATTGATTTGATCAAAGTATGTCTCTCTAAGACTTAAGGTTGCGTATAAATACTTTGTAGGAGACCGTTACTGAAGAAATTTTCCAATCCAAGAGATTTGATCCTTTGAAAGAAATTGATTCTTTCCAAGAATAAGGTTAATTCTCGTTACTCTTCCTTGATGTGTGGACTTTGACAGCTTTCCATTTTTAAGTCTTGATAGCACCGGATTTGCTCCTTAATTTCGAGTCCTTCCAGTAATAGCTAGTGATTGATTATCTTGTCGGATCTTCAATGCTTCTTTTCCTTTTTAACTCTTCAATCAATCTCGGATTGATTATCTCATCGGGGTCAGTGCTTCTTTTCCTTTTGAATGCTTCAATCAATCTTTGATTGATTTCTTCCTTCAGCTTTGATTGTTTCTCTTTGTGCATTTCGATCTTGGTTGATTTTCTTGAGTCCCTACACCAAAAGCAATTATATTATTTTTCATCATTAAAACTAAAACCTAACAATCTCCCCCTTTTTGATGATGATAAAGAAATAATATTTGTAAACATTAGTTAACTTCCCTGTATTTTACTCCCCTTTAATGAGTGCAGTTGACTCCCCGTCAATAGGTGCCGTTGGGACTACTTCTTTTAGTTGACTTCTCATGTAGTATCTATAGTCGACTTCCCGTGCAATGGATGTACTTGTGCGAATATATGTATAGCCTTCTCCCCCTTTTTGACATCAGTAAAGAGGGGATAAAAACAACAATACACCAGATACTAAAGCAGAATTTGTAGTATGATATGCATGCAGAGTTAAAAACAAATCATCCAACGACTGGTTATCCAGTCCAAAACAGCACAACAAAAAAAAATTGTTTGAAACTTCCACACTAACGATGCGAGAAATAAGTAAGAGTATTGCAAATCGCCTCCTTCAGATGATCAAAGCTAGCATTAGCTAAGACAGTCATTCCATCAAGCCTGTCGTGTACTTCCTTGAATGCTTTGACTGCATTTTCCTTAACTCTGAGAATTGCAACCCTTATTTTTGAAACATCAGACCCTGTCTCTTTGGAGATTGCATGAATGTCCCCAACAGTGGACTGAGTGCCAGCAAGAAGATCTTTGATGGTGGTCAGCTGGTTGTCAATGGCAATCAGTTTCTCAGCAAAGTCAGGATTACTAAGACTGTGATGAGAAATAGAGGCTTTGGTCTTGGAATCAGGTTGAACATGCTTGACCTCACCTTCCTGTTTCTTAACCCAGAATCCCTTCACACACACATATCCCATACTAGCAAACACCCTAGAATTGTAAGATTTTGAAACAGAGACGAAGGGATATTCAGATATATAGATATTATGAGCTTCCAGAATGTGAGTGATGGCCATGCCATAGAGTAGACTGGTGGGATCATCAGCACTTTCAATCATAAAATTTATGACCCAGGAGGACAATTTGATCTTGAGTTTGGTCACAAGGCAATAGGCAAGAAAGGTATCTCTTTAAGAGAAGGTGGAGAAGGAGCCAGTACGAGGGAGCACAGTAGTTGCCACAATATGGGCTAGAACACGAGTTTCAAAGCTAACATCACTTGGACCTAACTGGTTCGGGAGAGATTCAGATGAACACTCAGCAATACAACATTTTGCTTGATC